AGTATTTTTAACCCTTTGCACTCTTTTTCAAGTCCAAACCAAAGACATATACTTAAAAATTACAAAATACAGCAATACTGTAAATAAAACAGATATTCAATCGACTTTATTTGTTCCACTGTTTGTTTAAATTGCTCTATTTTTTAGTTAACGTAAATTTCAAATCAAACAAAATTGAACTATAATTTGGAGTGCAAAGGGTTAAATAGTTTCGTGATTTTTGGAGAATGCAGACTCGAAACCTATCATGATCCCTACACGTGGACAGATCAATAGTAAAGTCTAATTTTGCTTGGGATTAGTTAACCCTTTGACTGCTAAAATCGCCTATAGACGCTCAGTCCATGAGCGTTCGAACGTGTGTTGCTCAAGGCGTGAAAAATTGCTTGCGTTAAAATTGACCGTGGTCAAAGGGTTAGGAAAAATTGAGGAAGGGAAGTTTCTATAATAATATTCGAAGATTTATAGACGATATCGTAGAAAGGTACTTCTTTGTCGGAGCTACGGCTGTTGTGCTTAAGCGACTTATGGGCTTAAGCAAACAGCACTCGGAATGGGGTTGAAATCGATACGATCGTTTACAAGCTTAAAGCGAAAGATTAACAGTGCAACTAATATTCCATTGTTTGGGTTAGTAGGTTCGCGGAACAGAAAACCCCGATTATTAGCTAACGAAACCTACAGTTGCGCTTTAGACCCTTCATCCGGAGGAATACATATCAGATTATTCGCTCGTACTTAAATCAAGCATTATTTCTTATGGAAAAGTGATTCTACATCAAAATCAAACTACGAGATATAAAATAAATACTTTTCTCGCGGAACTTTGTCCTCGAAATTCATAGAAAACGCGTACAGGAGGGTGAGACTCAAAAACAAGTAGAAATATCGAGCATTAGTCAGACGCTCCAGAAAAATTTTAAAATTCAATTATTTTCTCAACGAAATTCCACGATTATATTATTCATATAGATTTCTAAACATTCGAGAAATTGTTTGCAAGCAGAAAAGAGAAATAAAAACGTTTATAAAGACGTTTATAAAACATTTATAAGAACGTATGATCAAAGTCCATAAAAATAATTTTTCCTGTTTTACTAGAAGTCTAGTCAGCCATTGTGCATTTTTAAATATTAAAGTAGACATTTCCCTCGTTCAAAGTCGAATTACCGAGGCGAAACTAGAGCGTGGCCAAAAATTTCTCGAATTCGCCGATCCCCCCAGTATCTCCGGTACAGGAATTACGAAAGTACACTCCACCCCCCTCCTGCAGTAACACCCCCTAGTCGCAATGGCTGTTACACGCTCGAGGGACGGTGGCACCGATTTGCGGTGGACTATCGCCGCTGCAAACACCTTCATTGTCCCAGAATTCGTGATCGATAATCGACATAACGCGGTGCTCGCTGCGCGGTCGTACGAATCATCGAAACGTTTAAATCCGTCTTAGGACGTCGTTTAATCGGATCGAGCGAAAAATAGTTTCGATGGATTATTAAGAGCCTTTGTCGCTCCACGGAGCGCGATCGGGATATTATAATATTAAATTATTGTTCGTCGGGAGGAAAGAAAATGAGAACAGGAAAATTCCCAACGAATTGATTACTCGTATCGATTCGGTGGTTGAGAATCTTTGCACTTGAAAGAAAGAATTTGGATGTACCCTCCGAGAAAACACATCGATATTATTGTTTCAAAGCGGGTAATGTAAAAAAGAGATACGTTTACTTGGATATTTACTATCCATTTCGATCTAAGAAAGTATGTTCGAGTTGATAGCAGTGCATGCGAGTGCAACGGGGTTAATAAATCGGTAAAGGTGAAACGGACGATCGAGTTTGAATATTAATCGAGCGCCCGTGGAATTATGACCGCGAGCGTCGACGTAAGTAGAAACGGCGAGCGATGGGTCGGGCGCGTCTGTGGGAAAATCTGGTGTAAAAGGCAATTTTATTTACAGTTTTCCCGATTTATTTTTACGGTGGTGTCGCGCCGATCTCACCCTCGAGCGCGTTGGAACGGCCATGCAAAACGCCTTCAGCGTCGGACGTGTTAACCTCGTTCCCCGTTATCTTCGTAGCCATACTTTAAAGTCGCCGGTATCAGCGTCGCGCCAGAAGAAAGGCGAGCCTCTTCCACTTAATAACATTTAATTTACCGCGTAAATTTTATAATCGGCCGTTACACGCGTATTCGCATAAATCCGTTCTCCACGGCAGCGTTCTCTTTTCCGCCGTTCGTTTAAAGGCTGCTTACGGAGGGTGAGAAGAGAGGGGGAGGGGTGAGGGGGGCCGAAGCAACCCTTCGCAGACTACATTATAGGAATTTTCCGCCAGGAACGGCGCTGGCTGGGAATATTTCACGATCGATCGATTATCGAGGGACGAAGTGAAGAGCGTGCGCCTGCACAAAGGGCGAGAAGAAAAGTCCGGGCCCTGCGTTACGTCAGGTCAGGGAAAAACCTTCAAAGAAGCTAATGGAAGGCAGACTAGCGTGACTTCTACTTAACGGGACACGGTTAAATATTAATAACGCGATCGATCGACGCTTCTTATTTTTTTTTTTTTTTTTTTTTTTTATATATACATATATATATATCTTTTTATTTTTTATTACGGACGAGAGTCAATCCACGCTTCGTCGATCGAGATATCCACGAAAATTGCACGTTCTAGTTACTGCGTTTCTGCGGGGAATAATATTTTTTAGTAATTTTACGGGAAGTGTGCGCGACGATAATAAGGACGAAAAGTTAGGCGTTATTTGCATCGTGCGTGTATTCCACGTTCGAGCGGAATATAATAACATTGGACGCGGAAGAATATTTCGAGTTCGATGCACTCGAATATTAAATTGTTTAGGAATAGAAGTCTGACGGCGATTCGCGGGGAGAAAATTGACTCTGAACGGCCGATTGAATAGCGTCTGAGTAAAGGAATAATAGAAATCGACGACGAAGCGTCGATATTTACACGGTCCTTGAGCTGTCGAGATCTTGCAACATCGCGAACAATTTTGAAGAAGCGTAAAGGGAAGCTGAAGAAATTGGCCGTTCACGAGAGAGACGATGTACAGTGTGTCGCAGAAGTATTCGGAGTCTCTCGACTACGAACAGTGGTCAATATTTTGACAAAATAAACCTCAGAATGAGATTGATCTAAACTCTTTCTAAACCACAAAGAAACTCACGAACACAAAAATATTTCCATGCAATTCTCACTGAACAATCCTTTTACATTGCAGTAGTCAATATTCTCCAGATTTAACTGCAGTTATCGTAAATCAACATTTTATTTCTGTGCTACTCTGTATTTCTATCGAGTCGTTATTTAAAAAAGTGTACACACGAATCGAAACCTTAATTAAAACATAATATTTGTGTACGGTGCATAATATTTATCTCACAAAAGTATGCATCGACGTACCGAAGTCCGCGGTTTTTCCACCGCGAATACTTTTGTCCCTTACTGTATATAAATTCGTCTCTTCCTGTCTCCTTTTTCCCGCGACGAAATACTAGCGAGCTGGATCCTTTCGACAAGTTCCCTCGGTTTAAACGAGCGCTTTATGTAATTGTGGAAACGCGGAACGAAAGACAAGATGTAGATACATAGACAATTATTGCTCGCCGAGGTATGCCCGCGATTCTTCTCGTTCCGCTTCGGCTGAAATTGTTTTTATTACGATCTCCAGCGGCTGGAAATTGCGTTTAAGGGCGTTCATTAGCGTCGCTGCGAGCTGATCTGCCTTCCAATTTCATTAACCCCTTTGGAACTGATTGACAATCCTTGCAATTTCCTCTTTGTTCGTTTCTGCAGTGCTATTTATTGGCACGACACTGGCGCGGGTCGTTAAAATATTCCTTGCGTCGACTGGGAAAATTAGGTGCAAAACAAACACTCGATTCTGGGAACAATTACCATTCCCAGAGTGAGATAACTAATTCTTTTGGGAACTCTTATGTTTACTTTTTTCATAATGCAAACATTTAAAATAAATTACTCTGGTTATATGCGATAAAATTATCGTCTAGACTTTACAGTCCTGTAATATTACGTGAAATTTGTCGCTTCAGACCCTCGTTAGTGGTCACAGGTGGCCACAGTTAGTTATTACGAAGTCCAGCTGGAAAAATTCGGTCACTCAAGGTCGCTTGTTAGCCAGATACACTTTGTAGCCATAATTATACGCGAAGTCAACTTCGGAATTAACGTAGGACGCGGAGTGAAAAGGCAGACACGTCGTCGATCATAATTATAATTATAACTACGCGTAGACATTGACTATGATGAAATAAAATGAAGTGGTGAATTCCACGATATATACTTTAAAACACGTTCTAATTTCTAAGAAAAAATTTCGTTACAAAGATAACAACGTGATACCGAATGTGCTGTCCAGAAATCCTCAAGTAACAATGTACGGTAGAAAGAGATCCGTACGTACAAACTCTATTATTCCAACAATGTTTTAAGAGCAGATACTTTTCATCCGGCAATACCAGCCATCACGAAAGATACTAATCGCAAGGTACACGTGCAGCCACTTGGATCCATCGCGAAAAGGCAACTACGGCGGGGTATCCAGCCCCGGGAGAATCAAATATAACCAAGACGAGTGCTTACAAAGCTCTCCGATACAGTCTGCGATATACACACACCCCCCGCGATCCACCTGTAACCTCTGTCCAGCTGCTTCCGTCACAAAAGGTGCCTCTGCCGATATTTTCGTCGCCCCGTGTCCGATCGGTTCCCTTTCAGTCGCGATTTCAAAAGAACGACGCCCCGAAAAGAACTACGAAAACGCCTGAACGACTAAGAGCAGAGGGAGGATAAAAGAGCGAAAGAGGCGGGAGATGGGGGTGGGTGGGGGAACAACTGGAAAGAGACCGAGGGAAAAGAGGAAATTCCTGGAACCGCGCGGGGGTGGGAGACAGGCACAGGAGGGAAGCAACAGCTCGCAAAGGAGCAACTTTCCGCGAGATGATCTTGTTTACGTACCAGGTATCGATTTACCGAGATCGAGGTACTCCCGCACAGAGGGACTGAGGAATCCAGGCGGCACGGCCGGTGCCTCGTTGGTCGGATTGTTTCTTTCATCCACGTCCTCGTAGTAGTAGTCGTCGTTGTCGTGGTCCTCCTCGTCCGGGTTCAGGGGCTTCGCTCTTTTCGACACCTTGCCGCCCCCCTGATCGCCTCTGGTGTCTCGCGCGCTCTCTGAAACACGAACCACGGCTATTAAAAACGCGAATCGATCGCCGTTTACTGGCCACGATTGCCATTTTGGGCCAAACATTGTTCTCGAAACTGCTCGAACTCGAATTGATTATTTTTATAAAGATAACCGCTTGGATATAGAGCTTCGAGCAGTTTCCTGGACACAGTGGCCATTTTGAGCCAAATTGATCAATTTTATAAAGATGACCGCTTGGTTGGATATGGAGCTTCGAGCAATTTCCTTTCCACGGTGGCCATTTTGGGCCAAATTGATCAATTCTATAAAGATGGCCGCTTGGTTGGATGTAGAGCTTCGAGCAGACTCTGAATCGCAAAGCAAGGAGTTAAGGGGGTGAAGCGATATTTGACAGTGTTCTGCAACCTGACACGTGCTTCAGACCAAAGTATCAAGCATCCCCCATCTTTTCACGAATTACAACTGTCCCAGAGGACTAATCATCATCATCCCTTAAAGATTTACTACCATCACTGTGCAAAACTCTGCTGGAACCTCTGTGCCCTACAGAAATATTTAGCAACCTAACACGTATTCCAAAATAAAGTACCAAGCATCCCCCGTCCTTTTCACGAGTTACAACCACCTCCAGAGGACTAATCATCATCATCCCTTAAAGATTTACTACCATCACTGTGCAAAGCTCTGCTGGAACCTCTGTTTGTGCCCTGCAGAAATATTAAGCAACCTAACACGAACTCCAAAATAAAGTACCAAGCATCCCCCGTCCTTTACACGAGTTACAACCACGTCCAGAGGACTAATCATCATCAAAGCTCTGCAGGAACGTCTCTTTGATCCCCGCAGAAATTTGTAAACACACCAGGTGTCCCAGAACGAAGCACCAACCGAAAGTTCCGCGTCTTTTCGGCGGAAGAGGTCCTCGCAGACTCGACCGCGCGGACCACAAAAGTTAGGCGGCCGGTTTCGTCGGAGGGTGAAAGTTTTCGTTCACGGTCCGGACAAGAGAAAGAGGGGGAACAACGGTTAGGTCAAAGTTTTGCGGTGGCGTCGTTTGCGATTACGCGGACCGCAGGGTCATAGCTGTTGCGTTATTCACGGCAGATTCGTACACACGGCCGCCGATTCCGGGGTCTGGCCCGGCACTTTATCGAACCTAACAGGTTCGGAAGTCTGCAGCTAATTAATTTCAGCTTTGTATACCGTTGTCGTTAAACATTTCCTCTGTCGGACAGGGCCGTGATTGCGTTACCCCGCTTGAAATATTCAAAATTCCGAAATCGTTAGGGTTTGCGACCGTGTACATTGCAAACCTATAATCGCGCGGGAGAAAGGGGCACGCGCGCGATCGATCGATCGCGTCCGAGGAATCGAGTCGCGTTACCGCGCAAATTAAGCACGCTCCGCTGCGATGACCACTTCGGTTAACGTCCGCCAATTTGTTGCCAAAGTATCCCTCTGTTTTATTGTTGACGATCGTTCGCTGCCCCTCCCTCGACAAAAATTATTTCGCGCTCGACCCTGTAAAATAAAAACAATTGCACGAGGAGGTTTCTGATTTTCCCGCGAAACGTTTCGCCCAATAAAATTCCCTTTTCCAAAACCCTTTCAGCCGGAAAGTTTTCATCGAGATCGAATTACCAGCGTACACATGTGTGTCTCTTTAGCCCCCAAATATGATTTCTCCAGCGAGCAGCTATCGACCGATCCTCATAACGTGTAAGTTTCGCCACTTAATTTACATTAATTCGCGCATTAATCCGCTGCGTTTAGACGCATAAAGTTTGGCTAGTCGATGAGCCGTTAATTAACTTCCGCGTCACGGACGGACCGGTATCAAATGGGATGAACGCGGGGATCGTATCCCACCTTTCCTACCGAAGTAACACGTACACGACAATGCGCGCAAACAATACACTTGAGCCAGAATTTCTCGCGTGCCAGACAAGCGGTATACATCGAGTTACCTGCCATTACGGTCTAAAATATTCGAGAAAGTAACAGAAGACCTTGGCTCGAACAACGAAAGGGTTTTCGGGACGCACGCCGTGCTTCTCGAGTCCGTAAAAGGATCTTCCAAGCATATTTATATACCCATAAATCATGAATGCGCTAAGTGGCGGCCCCCGTGGACCAATCGGAGTCTTTCGTTAATTTTTTATAACAGTTTCTATCCATAGTAGCCGAACATTATTAAATATTTATATCTGATAGAAATGAATGTTTCTCCAAGAGCAACGATTTTACTTAAACAATTGTTAACCCCTTGTATCATCCAATTTCTACCTCGAAATCATTTTATACGTTTCAACGAAGCATTGCACGCAGCTGAGAAAATTTTTACGCCCGGCTATGTGTATTATAAATTGTCAAAGTATTCTCTATCATACTTTATACGCTTCGTTGTACGTCGAAAGTAATAACGCAACATTTTTCTATCGTTTTTCTTGGTCGGTGCAGCACATGCATCGTCCCACGCTTCAATCATCTGGTCTTCGTTTGCAAAACGGCGCCCGGTTTAATTGATTCTTGATGTCCAGGGTATTTCTAAAATAATTGGCTACATTTGAGAAATATATTCCACTCGTTATAATGGTAAAAAAAAATGTAATTTCAATGCACAACATGGGGCCCTTTAATTTTTAAAAAATTGTAACTCGGAAGGAGAGCATCTCTGGACATTTTTTTTTTTATCGTTAAATAGAATATATTCCTCGAGTTCGACCGATCATTTTAACGCATCCAATGATCCCACGCTGAATTTTTTCAAACAATTTCAAAATTATAGAAAACACAGTCGAAATGAAACGGAGCAATTGTTTCCATAAATGTCTTAGCGTAAATAAACTCATCAAGGCATTTAAATGTGCCCAGTCTCGAAATTGGGTAACCTTCGAACCCGTTGCTCGTTCTTTTGTTAATTAACGACCGTTTAATTACCTGGCCGAAATTGGGTTGACCGCGGGGGAGGGGAGAGAAGGGGCGGAGAACGATGATTCGTAAATTGCCCAATTTTTCGAAGCACACACCGTTCCACGCAATGTTTCTCGAATATCATGATAATTAGGGCGCGATGAAAATATCGCGGCTCGCGAATTCGTAAATCGTCGATAGTTAATTAAGCAGTGAACGTGGCTAGTCTCGAGTTCGACGCGTACACGTACACGTGTTCGTCCCCCCCTCTGAAAACAAGCGATTCTCTCTTTTTCTTTTCCTGTTTTTTTTTTTTTTTGTTTTCAAATTTGTTAGTCCTGGGGGCGACTAGCGATCGATTCGCGGAATTCGTTTGTTATTACACGCAACCGCGTTAATTTAGTTCCGTACGGGCCAGCGCCGATACTTTCGCCGTGGAAACGCACCGAATCATTGATAATTATTTGGTATTCGCTTGGCTGCCGAATAATTACACCTGTTTGTTCGTGGCATTTAATACAGCAAGTGTTATTTGATTTCGTGTCCCTACTTACTCGCGCGTGTTTTATGAAATTTGGGTAGCCGGGCGTGACGATATTGCCCAGCCTGGTGGAGGATGTTGCCGGATAAATCGAACTCACGAGTACCGTGGCCGCGAATAGGGGTGACTTCTTGCCAAATATCCGAACACTTTGATTCGAGTGGGCCAACGTATCCAAATATTCGAACGAGCAAATGTTACAGAATTGCAGATTTAAACAGTCTAATTGGATGGTAATAATGCATCGTTCGTAACATTCGCGTTAACCCTTAAATGAGCTCTCAATTGAATTATTTTCTTAATCTTGAAAGTCAACTTTTCTTGAATGCATTGAAAAAATAATGAACTGATGGAGGATTGCATAAATTTCCAAATAATTACACTGAGATATATCAAATAATTCTTAGTTTAAACTAAGATCGACTTCTCCCAAGTTTCCTCCGGATTTTTCCAGCACTCTTTCCGTTCAATTTCCCCGTTTTCCAGATTCGATCGATCCAGCCAAAAGCAGTAGAAACCGCGAGCTATACGCTTCCTTTCCAAAATCGTTAATCAGAAATATTGTAAATTTCTTTCTCGCGCAATAGAGCGGTCGGGTTTTACGATGCTCGTCCGACGGGGAAGAAAAGCGTTCTCTCCCCAATTTCGTTCTCTCGTGCCCCCCCTAAAACGCTGATTGTATAACGCAAGATCGAGCTGCGACCTTCGCAGCTGACTCCGTGAATACACGTCTCCTCGGAAACGGGACTCGAAAGGGTCGGGGAAAAGATAGCCCTCCAGAGGTGGCGAAATGAAGAAGAACCGACGGGGCGAAAAAGTTTGAAAAAAGAAACGAGCACCCTGTTTCGAAGAGGAAGCTTCTTATGAAACGAAAGATTTGGCAGACGATTGGGAATCGTTGTTTTACATTTCACAGTTAAAATTCTCCGCTCTGCGTTGAGACGTTCAGATTAGATTTGAAAATTAAGTTCGGGGTTGGATGGTCCACGAGTGCAATTTCTGCCTGTATTTTCCCTTGGTTAATTTCGTATCGATTCGTTGAAGAGTGCACAAGTGCCAAGCCTGTAATTCTGAGGGTCGTAACACGGTAATTCGTCCGAAAACCAGGATGTTGGCTTCCAAGACCCACTTTCGAGGCATTCTTCGGCTACGGGGTAACGTTTCGAGCCAGCACGCGGGCTGGCCGCAACCCCAAACACGCAGCAGCGAGAATCGACAGGTCATCGTTGGCCATCCCACCCCCGTTAGCCCAGTGCAATCGCCGCGTAGCACGCGTACGTGCGCGTAGATCGCGAGTTTTCTCATCAAAGGCGAACTAATTACGCAGGTATCCTGTGCTGTAGCGACGCCCCTCTCCGCGGGCCGCGATCGCAGTTACGAATCTCCCGTTCACGATGAAATTTCAGGCAGCCCGCGAGAGGGGATGGGGCACGAGGGCAGAGAGGAGGGGGGCTGGGGGTCGGGGCTGGTTAACGGAGAAGCTGTTGGAGGTGGAAGGATGTGCAATGGATGGAAATACAGACGAAACGAACGGACGTTGCTTCGGGGCTAAACAGTGCGCGGCGGCGT